GTTTTGGAACACGGCCCAGGATACGAAGGCCCGGCAGAGCGGATGGACAGCATTAGCAGGTGTCGTGTGACGTCAAGTCTGACGAGCACCGAGGTCACCTTAAAAGCGGAGGAAGCGACGAGGAAAATCGTGATGTCTGCTTGGTGGTGTTCAGACATGGGACTGCCGGACTGCCGGACGCTTCAACCTCCACGATTTTGACGGAGTCGTGTCGTCTCCCCATTTATGAAGTGTCCTGTTGAGACAGACCTGACCTCGTCTTTCTTCTTTTTTTTTTTTTTTTAAGAACCGCTTAAGCATTCCTTTATATACAATACTTTATGTTTACAAAGGCTACCATAGTGTGGGCGTATGAGAAATGAAAGTACTGTTGCACAACATTTTTGAAAACATCAAAGTTACTTCTATTGTTTTATTGATAAGTGTACGGGAAAAGTAACGTAATTTGAAACTGCAATCTATTACATTTGAGTCTCGCTAATTTGTAATTGCAATCCATCATACATTCTTCAAATAACGCGCACAAGTCTGTATGCAAGTTTTTTTTTTTTTAAAGTTTATGAGATTTCTTTAAAAAAAAAAGCCATGAAAGCTACACTAATGCGGTTTTCGCAGTTGCGTTACACGGCCAGTGGGACATAGTATAAGAGGCTAATCGTAATAGCTAATTAACTAAATAATGTTAATTAACGTCTTAAATATTGAAAATTAAGATATGATTTTAATTTGAATCTCAAAGAGAGTCATCGAAAACAACTAAATGAGTCAATATTAGAAAGACTTGGAACTCGTGAGAAGCACGGTGAAGGCGCTAAAGTGACCACTGGTGCAGCAGAAGCAAGCCTATCTCTTACACGAGCGGCAAGTTAAACGCACTACTACGATTCCCACGAGCTCACTCTTTCTAAATTACTGATTTAGTGGTTTTCGACGACGCCCAGCAAGGCTCTACTCGGAACCACATCTCTATTCTCACCAATTAAAGAGTTATTTAACAAAAGCTAGTCAATGATACGATTTATCGAGACGATTAACCTCCTATACTATGTCTCCCTGGCCGCGTAACTTACCTGCACAAACCGTATTAGTGTAGCTTTCGCGGCATTCTTGAAACAAATGTCTAAAGCTGAAAAAGAAACACCCTGTAAATCGTATAAATCTGCCGCGCTCACGCGGGCGCGGCCAGGAGAACTTTTTTTTATTTTTCGTTCCTTTTAAATTATTTTCTTAGCTCAAAATTTGTGTATCGTAAATATCTCCGAAATCGGAACGCTGGATATATATTATATTGGTTCATTTCTGTTTTGTTCGGCAAGCTGCATAAAGGATATACTATATGGGTAGCGATAGGAACGCAGCTGTTCGTGCCATATTCTCGCCCGGTTTCGAAACCTGTATGAAATGAATTCACGTGACCAGACACTAGAAACTGTTGCAGTTAATATATGTCTTTCGCTGACAGCTTAAGGTACGCTGGGCGCAGTGGTGGGTCCTCGGCATCTCATTATCGGTCCGCAGCCAATGAGGTTGCTGCATCAGCCGGTGAAAAATCCCCAAGAGCCAATCACAAAGCAGCATGGGCTGACATATTAAGCTACGCCATGTTTTTTTTTTTATGTCAGTGATTATGAAAGCATACCGGGTGTTACACCAAACAACGACCAATTCTACTCCTGTAAAAATCAACTAAATAATAAAAAAAAAAAAACTTGGCGCATTATTATTTAGTACTGAAGGTTTAACTTAGTGAGGTGAATAGCGCTTCGGGGGATAATTAGGACTTTGATTCGATTTGAACGATCAACTTCTTGATTAGTACAAATTAACATGTTGTATTTAGAAGCTTGCTCAGCGTCATCGAAAAAAAATGAAACAAAGTTTGTAGATTTGAGAAAGACTCAGAGGCCGTGGAAGCTTTGTGGTGTGTAAAAATGGTAACCGATAATGCGTATCATAAAAAACGAACGACCCCGTGGGAGCGTCGAGGTTGGATGTACTTTCGGGGCCTCGAAAAACGCAGCAGAAGTTCCAGATCTTTTTTTTTCTTTTTTTTTTTTTTTAATGACTGATTTTGCTGTTTTTGAAGATGCCGGTCGAGCTTTCTGTTGGATTTGTTTAGTTGGCGGACTCCCTGGCGGATCCCAGGCATCAGGCCAACCAGGTTGCCCGACGCCCGAACTAGACAGCTGTCCTTTGAACGCGTACCGATAGTGCCATGCCACGAGCTCCTCGTGCTCACCGCCTTCATAAGGAAGAACAGAGTCGACGCTCATACTCACGCCGGTTGGCCGCAAAGTCGTAAACGTCGCATGGCTCATATATGTTGTCTATGTCCAAATAAATGCCGTTAACTGTTCTCCAAACCGTTGGCTCCGGGTTATTCGTCGGACTCAGATATGCAGCGAGGCATACCGATCACAATATTTACTACTACAAAAGATAAATATTAGAAAAAAATTGGAAAAACAATTGTCCCCAACGCAACGAACCTCAAGAAACAGATTTTTTGACAGCTTTCTTGCCTCTGCCCGATGTCTAGTCTTCATGCAAATATTTCGGTCGATGTTCGGTAAAACACTCAATTTTTAAAAGGGGAGCACTTAATGGTGTGGAAAATCCTTTCATTCACTTATCACTCGGAAAGGTAACTATGCATGTTTGTCTAAAAACAATAGTGTTCGACTGGTTAGCCAGGCAGTTGGATGTATAAAAAAAAATGCAAGAGCAATCTAAAGAACATCCTCTGCTCATATTGCTTCTCTTCTAATTTAATTAGGAGCTTGTTCATCATGCGTACCTGATCGTAACTAATAGCTACATAGTGAATGCGTAGTGCTTGATTTTGTGTCAAACTGACAGCAATCATGCACGTATTCAAGATGTTTATATAGGGGGCGCGAACCCTATGTACACTGCGATCATGTTAAAAAATAAATATGTAATGCAGCCCATACTCTAACTAATGTCTTAAAACCGTTATAATTTTATTTCGTGCTCCACATCTTTTACCTTATTGAAGAATGTTTGAGGGACAGTATGGCGAACCACACGCAAAAACACGGGACGAAAACACACGTCAAAACAAAATAAATATTCATAGAAAGTTGACAGACAGATAACTTCCGTTTCATTTTATTGTAAAAAGAAACCTTAAATACTACAGACATTTCAAACAGCTGCTTGTCGTCATTTCACAAATAGGCAAATGACGATGCTATTAACAAAAATATACAGTCGTGTATAAAATGCTGCTTTGTTGGTGATCAGCAGAAAAGTTTTCAAATGTAAAGCCTGGCTTTTTTAGCTTGTTCACTTCAGTGAAACCGACCCTTCTGTATTTCAGAAATACAATGTTCGGAATAAATAACTGAGGCTCAAATGATCCATTCAATCCCCCAGCCAAGGCTTCATACCAGCTTACCAAAACGTGGACTTTCTGCAGTTAACAGCTCCGAATACGTCGTCAATTAAACAAAACACTTTTGTATTTTTTTTACAGAAATAGGCATATCACTAGCAGTCAGGCCCATTCGATTCTGGTTCCTTTGGTCTGAAGTACGAAACACTGAACGATAGTCCAAGACCGCTAGCCTGTCATGGCTCTGACTAACTCGTATTTCATTAACCTTAGCCAGCAGTGTTTCTGACCCTCACGGGTTGGTTATGAAACTCGTGGAATGCCTCGTGCGAGGGAAATCGGATTGGCCTCTTTGTGCCAGCGTCACCCGGTCCGCCGCCGGTTCCGCCACTTCCCGGTCTCGGAGCAGGAGCACCTGGTCGGGCCGTGGTCTGGCCTTCAGGAAATATTGTTCCGCCTGGGCCGGGACGTGGACCAGGGCCTGGGCCGGGCCGAGGGCCTGGGCCGGGCCGAGGGACGGGAACCGGGCCGGGGGCCGGGCCTGGGCGTGGTCCGGTAGTCGGGCCGGGCCGAGGGCCGGGAGTCGGGCCGGGCCGAGGGCCGGGAGTCGGGCCGGGACCAGGTCGCGGGCCAGGACCAGGCCGGGGCCCTGGGGTTGGTCTGGGCCTCGGTCTCGGACGCTTCGAACCGTAACCTGGAGCTTCGGGTGGCGAGGGCTCTCCCGGCTCTCCAAATATGGCCGTACCGGTTGGTCTTCTTGGTGGAACTTGAGGTTTCACTCCAGTTGGAGGTTGGGGTCTCGGCGATGGTTGTGGTTGAGGACGAGGCTGTGGCGGTGGTTGAGGGCTTGGCAGGGGTGGTGGTGGTGGTCTTGGTTGTGCTGGAGTTGGCCTTGGTACCGGAGATGGCGGCTGTGGTCTTGGAGAAGGTTGAGGCCTTGGTTGTGGTTGAGGCCTTGGCGGTTGGGGCGGTAGCGGCCGTGGTTGTGGCTGAGGCCTTGGTTGAGGCTGAGGCCTTGGCTGCGGCTGAGGCCTTGGCTGCGGCTGAGGCCTCGGCTGCGGCTGAGGCCTTGGTGGTGGCCTAGGCCTTGGCCTTCCTTGGCCATATCCCGGCGCCTCAGGGAACGGCTGGGGAGCTGGCTCAGGCAACTCTGGTCTCGTCGGTTCGGGCACATTAGGAAGTGGTGGGGGGACAGGGGGTAGAGGACCTGGAATGAAGGGCCTGCCGCCGCCGCCGGGTGTTGGTTTTGGCTTTGTAGGCCTCTTTCCTCCATAACCGGGGGCGTCTGGGAATCCTGATGGTGGTGCAGGGGCGGGCTGAGGAACCGGAGCCGGTCGTGCTGGTGGTGGTGGTAGAGGTACCGGTTGTGGTCTTGGACCTGGGGCAGGCGGGGGTGGCCTGGGCGAAGTGGGCGGACCTCCACCAAATCCAGGACGTGGGGGTGGTATGCCCTGTGGGGACACCGGCCTTTGTGGCCTGTAAGGAGGTGGGGTAACTAAAGCACCGCCTGGGGGTGAGGGAGCCGGAGGTCGGGGTCTTGGAGGCGCGGGTGGTGGGAAGGACTGAGTTGGGAATGGAGGGCGAGGAGTAATGGTGGAAGGTCCCGGAGGTATGAACGGCCTCGGAGGCGTCTGAGGAGCAGGGGGTGCTGGACGAGGTCCGGGACGAGGACCAGGGGGCGAAGGAGGTCTTGGAATTCTTTGGGGTCCAGGTATTGGTCGAGGCCTCTGCGGTGTAGGCGGAGGCGGCAAAGGCACTGTAGGCCGCGGAGTGCGTGGTGGGCCACTCGGTCGTGGGGGACCACTTGGTGGGAATGGGAACGACGGTCGCGGAGGCGGTGGTCCCGTCTGAGGTCTTGGCGGAGGAGGAGGGCTTGGGAAACGTGAGGGACCTGACGGAACTTGAGGGCGAGGAGCCGGTGGTCCTGTTTGAGGTCTTGGTGGAGGAGGAGGGAATGGGAAAGGCGAGGGGGTCGGACCTGGTCTTGGGCCGGGCTGTGGTGGACGCTGCGGAGGTGGAGGAAGTGGCCTAGGCGGGCTTGGTGGTCGAGGCGGGCTTGTTTGAGGTTGTGGCCGAGCTGGCGGTGGTGCAAGTGGTCGTGGTAGAGGTGGGGGAGGACCTCTTGGCGGGCCTGGGGACACTCCTTCTGAAAAAAGTGCTCCACCTGATGGACGCGATGGTTTCGGACGTGGCCTTTTCGGTTTCGATGGATATCCGGGCGTGTCAGGAAATTCGGGAAAATCGGGGGCTGGACCTTGCGGTGGTCGAGGCGGAGGTGGTGGAGACGGAACGCGTGCCGGCCCAGTTGGAATTTGTGGCCGTGGGGGAGCAGGTCCGGGTCCCGGGCGAGGTACTGGCGGTGAAGGAGGGAAAACAGGTGTTGGAGGAGGACTTGGTCTAGGAGGCTGTCTGGTTGGAGGTAGACTTGGTTGTGACACTCTTGGCGGTGGTGGTGGGGAAGGTACTCGTTGAGGGCCAGGTAGCGGTGGCCCAGGGACAAAAGGTGTCGGCGGTCTTCCTTGTGGAAACACTGCTTGACCAGCAACAGGGGGTGATGGCCTAGGCCGAGGACGTTTTGGCTTTGCTTGGTACGTTGGGGCTTCCGGATAGAGAGCAACGCCTGGCGGTGGCCTTGGCCTTTGGGGAGGTGAAGGAGCTGGTGGAGATGGCGGTAACGGAATGCGTTGTGGCGGGGGTCCCGGCGCTGGGCCCGGCCTGGGAGGAGGTCCTGGTGACGGCAGAGGTCTGGAAGGGGTGGGCCCTGGAAATCTTGGTGGCGGAGGTGGAGACGGAAATCTTGACGGGCCCGGAGGTGGTGGTCCCGAAGGCCGGGGGGGACCGGGAGAGGGTCCCGGTGGAAACACCGCACCGCCTCCAGATGGAGGTGACGGTCTTGGCCCTGAAGGTCTTGAGCCGGGGTATGGCCGAGGAGAGCTGCCCGGTTTAGGTGGCTGGATGAGGAACTCGTGGAATTTGTGGTGTGGGATGTCAGACGGCTTTCTTCCAGGAGTTGGGCGTGGTGGAGCAGGTCCTGGAGCTGGCTGTGGGCCACGTGAAGGGGGAGGTCCAGGTACGCGTGACGGTCCCGTTGGAGACGGTGGGCGGGGGGGTGCAGGACCAGGTATTGGCTGAGGGAATCCAGGAAAGCTTGTTGGGGGCAGAGGACGTGATGGTCTGGCTGTCCCTGTGCCAGGGAATGGTGGAGGGCGTGGACCCGGTGGTGGTGATGGTCGGGGAGGAGCAGGACCTGGTCCGAATGATGGAGGTCTTGGTGTCGGGGATGGACCTGGTACATATGATGGCGGTTTCCGAGGCGGAGATGGGGCTGGTCCGAACGATGGTGGTCTCGGAGGCGGGGATGGACCGGGTCCGAATGACGGCGGTTTCGGAAGCGGAGATGGACCGGGCCCAAACGAAGGTGGTCTTGGAGGAGGGGATGGACCAGGTCCGAATGATGGCGGTCTCGGAGGCGGAGCTGGACCGGGTCCAAATGGTGGGGGTCTTGGAGGTGGAGCTGGGCCGGGTCCGAAGGATGGCGGTCTTGGAGGCGGAGCTGGTCCGGGTCCAAATGATGGGGGTCTTGAAGGTGGGACTGGTCGAGGTGGAGTTGGGCCGGGTCCAAAGGAGGGAGGGCGCGGAGGTGATGGAGCAGGTCCGAATGATGGGGGCCTTGGAGATGGAACTGGTCGAGGTGGGGACGGACCTGGTCCAAAAGATGGTGGCGTGGGAGGTGGGGACGGACCGGGCACATATGCTGGTGGTTTTCGGGGAGGAGATGGCACCGGTCCAGGTGATGGTGGTCTTGGAGGCGGGGATGGACCGGGTCCGAATGATGGGGTCCTTAGAGGCGGAGCTGGACCTGGTCCGAATGATGGGGGCCTTGGACCCGGGGCTGGACCAGGTCCAAATGATGGTGGTCTCGGGGGCGGAGATGGGCCGGGTCCGAATGATGGAGGCCTTGGTGGCGGAACAGGTCGTGGTGGGGATGGACCGGGTCCAAACGAGGGAGGTCGTGGAGGCGATGGACCAGGTCCGAATGATGGGGGCCTTGGAGGTGGAACTGGTCGAGGTGGGGAAGGACCTGGTCCAAAAGATGGTGGCGTGGGAGGTGGGGACGGACCAGGCACATATGCTGGGGGTTTCCGTGGAGGAGATGGCCCGGGTGCAGGTGATGGTGGTCTTGGAGGCGGGGATGGACCGGGTCCGAATGAGGGGGGCCTTGGAGGCGGAGCTGGACCTGGTCCGAATGATGGGGGCCTTGGAAGCGGGGATGGTCCAGGTCCAAATGATGGTGGTCTTGGGGGCGGAGATGGACCGGGTCCGAATGATGGGGGTCTTGGAGGCGGAACTGGTCGAGGTGGGGATGGACCGGGTCCAAACGAGGGAGGTCGCGGAGGCGATGGAGCAGGTCCGAATGATGGGGGACTTGGAGGTGGAACTGGTCGAGGTGGGGATGGACCTGGTCCAAAAGATGGTGGCGTGGGAGGTGGGGACGGACCGGGCACATATGCTGGGGGTTTTCGTGGAGGCCCGGGTCCAGGTGATGGCGGTCTTGGAGGCGGGGATGGACCGGGTCCGAATGATGGCGGTCTCGGAGGTGGAGCTGGACCGGGTCCAAATGAGGGAGGTCTTGGAGGCGGGACTGGTCGAGGCGGGGGTGGACCAGGTCCAAACGATGGAGGTCGCGGCGGTGGGGCTGGCCCGGGTGCAAATGTTGGGGGTCTCGAAGGTGGAGCTGGACCGAGTCCAAATGATGGAGGTCTTGGAGGCGGGGCTGGTCGTGGTGGGGGTGGACCGGGTCCAAACGATGGGGGTCTTGGTGGAGGCAATGGGCGGGGTGGGGCTGGACCAGGTCCAAAAGTGGGAGGTCTTGGCGGCGGTGGTGGTCGTGGTGGGGCTGGACCCGGTCTAAACGATGGAGGTCTTGGCAGAGGTGGTTGAGGTCGGGGCCGCTTTGGAGGTGACGGGAGTCCAGGTTCCGAAAATATCGCACTTCCGCTTGGCGGCGGTCGCTTCCTTGAGGGCTTGGCTGGGTACCCCGGAGTGTCAGGGAATTCGTCCCCTCCGTCGAATTGGCTAGGGGGTGGTCGAGCAGGGCCAGGTCCTGGTGTTGGAGGTCTTGGTCGTGGGGATGGACGAGGTGGTGGCTGTGGGCTCGGTATTTGGGGTCGTGAAGGTGGAGGAGGACTTGGAAACTGTGGCCTCGGGACTGGACCAGGGGGTGGTGGTCCAGGAAATCTGGGTGGACTCGGTATCTGAGGTCGGGGCGCCGGAGGTGGACTTGGGACAAATGGTCTAGGGGGGGCAGGACTGGGACCAGGTCTGGGGAACTGGGTTGGAGGCCCGGGAGGAGGCCGCGGTCCTGGAACAATTTGGGGGGGTCTCGGCACTTGCGGTGGTGATGGGAATCTTTGCGGTCCCGGTCCTGGAAACACAGCTGCTCCTGCGGCCGGCGGTTGAGGTTTAGGACGGGGCCTCTTGGGTTTTGTGCCATATCCGGGTGTGTCTGAAAAAATGGCCGATCCAAAACCAGGTTTTACCGGCTGAGAATGAAATTCGTGGAATTTGTGATGGGGAATATCATGCACAGAAGGTTTCTGTCCACTTGGAGGACGTGGAGGAGTTGAAGGAAAGGAACCCGGTGGGGGTTGCCTGGGTGGAGGTGGTGGGGCAGGAAGGCGTGGAGGTGGTTGTGACGGTGGGAATGACGGGGGTTGAGGCCTTGGTTGGAAAGGTTGAGGTGGTGGTCGAGGAAGGGAAGGTCCAGGGCCGGGTTGAAAGGGTTTCGGAATACCTGTTTGTGGTTTGTCTGGAAACCGTCCTTCTGGATAGAGCGCCACTCCCTGGGGTGGTCTTGGAGGTGAAGGTGGTCTTGAAGGAGGGGGTTGTCTAAGAGGGGGTGGTTGTCTCGGTGGAGGTGGTTGCCGAGGTGGTGGTAATCCTGGAGAAGGCCTTGGTGGTGGAGGTGGTCCAGGTGGAAATCTTGATGGAGGTTGTTGAGGCGGACTGGGCCTTGGACTGGGTTGATAGCCGAATGAAACTCCCGGTCCTGGAGGTCCTGGTCTTTGCGGTGGCGGCCCTGGAACTGGCTTCGCGCCTCCGGTTTGCACGTTGAATCCTATGAATCCTTGTCCTGACGGAGGTCTTGGGAACGATCCGGGTGGGGGACTGAGAGGGCGCGTGAAACCTGGACCAGGTCCTGCTGGTACTTGCGGTCGTGGTGGAGGAGATGGAAACTGCGGACCGGGTCTTGCGGGTGGCGCCGGAATGAGGACTCCGACAAGGGGAGGTCTTGGCGCTGGTGCTGGAGGGCGCGGCCTTGGCGGTTGTCGTGGAGGTGGCAGGTCGATTGTGTTAACAGGGTAACCGCTAAAGGCTGGGGGCCTTTGTGGAAGATCAGGTGGTTCGTACTCCATCACTGGAACCAGAATATCGGGCTCGAGAACATTGCTTGGCGGTTGGAAAGGCCCTTCTGGCCTGCCATAGCCCCCCGTTCCTCTAGATGGCTGCGATGGCTTTTGGGGCTTCGTGGGGGGCTCGAAAGGTTCACCGAAAATAGCCGTTCCAGGGGGCCTCCTCGGAGGTGTGGGACCAGTTGTTAAGCTAGGTGGGAACGCCGTTTGTTGTGGAGGCCTTGGAGTTGGCTGAGAAGGTCTTTGCTGAGGTGGCCTCGATGGTCCGGGCTGGGAGGGACCTGTTGGCGGTCTTCCTTGCTGAAACGGCCTCACTGGCTGATTGTGAAATTCGTGGAAAGCCTTGTGAGACGGGAACGCCTTCCCCGCGCTATTGGTTTGGGCAGCTCCTTCCAGGTCACCGTAGAGACTTTCAACGAAGCGTGCCAATCGGACTGATACATCTTCTTGTTCTCTTGGGTCACTCTCATGCTGTGGCCTTGCCCGAACGAACGTCACTGAACACAGCAACAGGGCCACCAGCGTGGCATGAGGTATCTGCACACAAAAAGCAGACACAAGAAGTCAATGTTTAGTCCCCTTCAAGTGTTAGGCAATGAGCAAGAGTTTTTGTTTTGGAAATGCTTGGACGTTTGATTCTTTAGCCCCATGTTCCAGGGAATAAAAAACAGCCCTCGGATCGTCAAAAACACATGTTATTCGTTTAAGGCTCGTAAAAATATTAGGTGCTGGAAAAAATCAGCCACCTGCGTTAAGTCCTTAACTCGAACTTTTTTTTTTTTTAATTTACTTGGGCTCTCTGTCCGTGCTTTTCAATGGAGAGAGCCTAAGTACGCTCCTGATCTCACTGCACCGTCGTCTCCTTCCGCACAATAAAGTATGTGTCAACGCTACTAAAACACTCATTTGGAAAGCTGCCATAGAGACTGCTCTGAAAAAGTGGCCCCGATCTGTCCTCGAGAACCGAGCTAATGGCGAACATAACACCACCATTCCTCCCACAGCGGCCACTCGAGGAACTGTACGTTACTTCTATTTTGACTTTAATTGGCCATTGTGGCGCCAAAACAGATACAGCGGAAGAGGTTACAGGGGTGCCGCCCCGTCTCCCCAGCGAACGCGCCGCGACTTACTACCGGAGTTGAAATGCACCTAGGTCGGGACGCGCTACCTGAAAGCACCGCTGAGGCATGGTTGTAGAAAAACAATATTAATTGTGCCGCAAACCCTGCCAACTAAATATTTTAAAAACATCACGCGCCCACCTATTTGCACTAAACTCCAATAAATTTCATACAAAGAGAGTCTTTTCCGTTTGTTTTTACGCAAAAACATGCTTTCTTAAAGCTCAAGCTGATCGCACTACAGACAAATAATAAAGAGGGGCGCAGTTGTCGTATTTAGCTCGGTCTCGGTGGACGCCAGCGGCCCAAGTTTCGACGGCGAGTTTCCCAACTGAGTGTTTTAGTAAGGTTGGTATGTGTGCTACGCTATGGCCACCGAATGTCAATAGACGCGCACGCGAACGCAGCGTCTGAAGCCAGCTACAGCCGCGCCATCTTCCGAATGTCGTCTGCTACCAGCGCGCCAACGTTACCTTCGGCTCCAAGCTAGGCTGCCATGCAGACAGCGCGGCAAGCGAAAACCCCTCGCTTCGCTCTGGGAAGTTTAATATAATGTCAGGATCAAGTGTGCTCCAAGTCTTGTCGGAACCGCCAGGGGTTCGCCATGCGACCGCTCTCCGTTTCCAGCGTCGATCTACACAACAGCGCGTCCGACTTTGGAGCGTTGTGGCGTTCATATTGAGGCCCAACCACACATTAAGTTTTTGACGCGCTTCGTCCACGTCAGCGTCACCTCGCTCCAGGCGCGGTGCTCCGTACCTATATCTGTCCCGTTCAGATTTCGGCGTCGACCGCGCGTCGCATTGTTGTGGGTGACCTCGAGCGACACGCGTCGACGCTGACGCTGGCTAGGCACGTAAAAATACAAACCTGTGTGGGCGTATTTTTTAAAGATGGCGACTTCCGTTGCTGATTCCAGACGCGGCGTTCGCGCGCTCCTCTACACTGAAGACCCTTCTTGCCATGGTGAAGTGAACCGTAGTAGACGGGCTTTATTGTGCGGTAGCAAAGGTGGGGGGCGGAAGCGAGATTAGACTACACCACCTACAATAATCAAAGCCTCTGCATCGCCTCGTCTCCCTTCATGAAACGTGTTCACAGTCGGATCGCGATATCTCGGCTATTGGGCCCGAGTCCGACCTTCGACGCGCTGATTGAACACGAGCCCCCGCCGAACACTGACGCAGCACTCGTGCCCAATCACAGGCCTCGATCGATCTGACTGTGATGACGGTGTGGAGGCCTTCTGCCTATCTAGGTGGTGTTGGACCAGGTGTGTGCTTGAGCTCTTTCGCTGTGCTTTTCAATTGGCGAGACGTGAACAAAAGTACTTCGAAATGAGGACTTAACTCAGATGGCTGATTTTCTCCAGCACCTGATATTTCGACGAGCCTTGCATGAAAAACATTTTTTAGCTCACAATTTGGAAGAAGTTTTCAGTACTGCAACATTGGGCTAAACTAACGAGGAGCCCGAATGCTTTAACTTTTATTTGCTTAATCGTGGAAATGTTGCAATCTGAGGTTGATTAATATTATACTATAAAATGCAAAAGTGAGCGCTTCATTATTATATATAAGGTTGCATCTTTGTAAAGGCTTGAACATAAAATTCAATAAAAGAAATTCGGGGGCATAGAGTGGTGACGTGACTACTTTATATGTACACAAATGTACATTCGGCTATAGTTGCAACTCCATAATTCGTTTTACCAGCACGTTATATTGTTCGCAGAGTTAAAGGAGAGTAAAAATAATGATATACCAAAGTTCATTGTTATTAGCACATCGTACAGTATCAGTAATAAAATAACAAAACCAATTGTAAAATTGGGGTGTTTTCCTTCTACTTCTAGTCTCTCAAAGTTACACCTGAAGAAAATCAAAATGTTTTCAAAACGTACTCGTTATTTGTGTATTTGTGTACAAATAATAATCATAAAAGCATTCAAAAGCGCTGGTATTAGCTGTCGTGATGCACCCCTGGGAGGATGACTCTGCAAGATGCCTAAACTCAAAGAAACTTCCTCACATTCAATGAACGTTTGTGCCACCGCTCTTTTAGTTTATGCATATGCAGCTTCAACTTCCACTTTTAATCTTAATTGCATGGCATTGATTTTGTTATTTTCGTTTACTTTTACATGCGGTCGTCCCGTTGGCCATTATAGCGAGGAATACAGTATAACACAACTTTCCATTTCACAGCGTCTCCTGAAACGCATATCTGCAAGGAAATAAAGTAAAGGAAGGGAAGGATGTTTTCTCCGTAGATACATAGCATTGCAGACATGTCTGCGTTGAGGTTCTCCCGTGCGGTCGCAGACGGGAAATTGAACGCGGGGTGCGGGTGGAAAGACAAGTCGCGCCTGTAAC